GGAATTTCTTTTATAGCTTTGATGCTCGTCTGGTATTATAATTTATAGGGGTGTGTTACCCTTTAGTCCTGATTTATAAACACTAAAGTTAGGGAGAGTTTAATAAATTACCTTGCCACAGAAGTAGTACTCGAGCTCATCCTTCTCCATTAGGGCAAGTGCAGCCTCGTTATCCGTCAAGGGACTTCCCGGCTGACTATTCCCAATCCTCTGGCCTTTTTCATGGTAGTAGGTCTTGTGGAAGACCTTCACCGAAGGCACTGGTAACGCCGTAATCATTCTGTAGTATGTCCAAATTTGAGGGATGGATTTAGTTGCAACAAGATTAAGAGTAACAAGTCCATTTTAATACATAAAGCTTCGAGTATATTTGAATCTAAAAGAGATAGCTGAAATGTTCATTAATAACTTTTTGTAGCTCTTATTTTACTCTGCAAAAGTGGTTTTAATAGGAATTTCGATATCTCCCGTGGATTCAGAGCTATTCCTCAAAAAGCTGATTAAGGAACGAGTTGATTCGTCCAAAAATCGGAAGTTTTCGAGAAATATCTCTGAACTTAAACGAAATATCGAAATCTTCATGAATATCTTATTTGTAGTTCTTAGTTTATCCTACAAGAGAGGCTATGAGGAAAATTTCAGTATCTCTCTTCGATCCCGAGATATTTCTCGAAAATGTGGTGGAGGGATATGTGAACTTTTTTGCTAGTGAAGTATAAACGACTGGAGCAATCCATTAAAAATTTTCAAACCGTTCAATGTTGCTGTTGGATTTGACATAAATTGAGATATCCAAGGAAATCACGTGTGGGATAGGAAACTTGGGATTGTGGGGTAATCTCGAGGTATTGGAATTGCAGGGTGAAGGTGAAATCGCCCTGTGATTTATTTACCGGAGTCCTACCTCTCGGGAGATTGAATATCTAAATGGACTCGCCGAATTCTCCCGCGGCGTTTCAATATTCCATAAGAATTCTTTGTGGGAAAGTTCTTCAGGTATTTATGCCAGAAGCCCTCGAAGATCCCACGAGATGCAATTGCTCGGAATTCATTATGCTTGATTACTTCAGATCCACGTGATTAAATCCAATTTGTTTAATGAACTTCTGAGTAATCTGAGAAGGTAATCTATCGTTATAAATTCCGCTTGAAGTTTTTTACTCTTTTGAAAATTTATTCATTCACTCCCGGACTGTCTTCAGTCTCATGATTTCCTCATGATTTGAGGGAATGAAAATCGTAATTGTAAATTTTAGATTAATTATTTGGTGGAAATTGGAATTTTTGTTTTTTTTTGTCATTTTATTTTCTCAGTAAATTGTCCCAAAATTTTCATAATTACTGTTATAGAGCCAAACTTTACAGTTTCCCCGGATTTTTTCAATTCTGAATTTTCAATGACAAGATGTCGCGAAATGTCAGTAGAATTGCAAGCCAATAAAAGGATCCGATAGTTAGCGCGAATTACTCATGCGTAATTCAATGTTTCACCCTGAAAAGTTCTCCCTTTTGTTCCCGACGAACCCACTGGAAAATACCCAACAGTTTTGAATCTCTTGCGTTATTTGACAGCCATTTATCCCCGTGCAGTGAACCATCGAGTTGCTCTCCCAATTACATAACAAATCATTAACTGAGTCATACCGGGGGATAAATCACGGTGAGTCCCGTCGAATAATTGTGAAAACTGGCCTAGGGCACCCCCAACAACACAGGTCATGCGCTCAATAGCAGAAAGTGGAACAACCCGAGCCGTCAGATTTTCAGTAGATTGTTGTGGGATATAGTCAGACCGTATGTGGCTGATATACGTACTGATGTCTGTTACTACTTTATTGATCCAAGATCTGTGTCATTTGATATGTAAAGAAAGTGGAGCACTTTCGCATTAGGCACCACTCCCTCCCTTCTTTCCCCCCAACCACCCACTGCTCACCCATTACATCAAAATCGTTGATACGAGAGCCCGGAATAGTGAATGGACATTAATTTCGCAGAAATTCAATGCCCCGATTCACCATTTCGAGTATTCATTATTTTCTAGACTGCGAGAAAACGGGGGTTCAGCCGAAAAAATGAGGGATCGCACTGATTACAAACAGTACCTTCCGACAAAATAAATACTTGAATCAAGTATATTTTATTCTTCATCCTACCATATTCAAAATTGTCAATAGAATCGTGGGAAAATCAATTTCTTTTTGATATTCACCGAAAATCGATTACACTAGGATCAAGTATAAAGCATACATCATGCAAGTATTTTTTTTCATGCAACTATAATTTCACCCTCATTAATTAATGCTGTTATTATCCTTGTTGACACTAAATCAAATATTCATGAAGTAACTATGGGAGGTACTTATTGCTTGTGTAGATGTAAAACTGTAAAGTAGCATCGATGAAATGAAGTATTCTATTCCACTCTATTATTTTCCAGTACCGAACTTTAATTATTCTGTGTATTTTGATGAAGGGGGCAATATTGCGGTGCGGGGGTGACTGAGGAGGGGTCGCGAGGGGGAGGGAATGGAAGAGGGGGAAAGGTAGATGTTGGACTGAGTGGCAAATTAAAATCAATTGTTTGACAGTACTGCAGTTGTGGGTTGGAGTCCTGGGTAAAATGGGGTTGTAGTCCTCCAGCTGAGGCAGTCTCTGAACTCCCGCTAGCTCGAGCCCCGGTTGTTCGATAACCCAGAGGTGCAACGGCCGTCGGCCCCGCGACGTCTATCTAGGCCAACGCCACTGCGACCTCTCTTTCTCCCCCTCAATCCACCACCCACCACCCACCAACCCTCCTCCGTCCACCCTCCCTGAATCGTCTGCTCGAAAGGACGTACCACTGACTAACTAACCTACCCTCTATCACTATATTATTCAACGCTAAACATTATTTTGCACTTTATTGACAATCGTCTTACGCGCCACGAGTTTCATCGAGGGGTTTTTTTTTCTTTTTTTTTTACTCTTTACTTTTTTCTTTTATCGAAAGGGCGTCTTTGCCTGCCTCTTCACTCGTCTTTGGGTCAGAGAATCTATGAATATTCACAATTGTTTGACTTCGGGGATTTGAGGTATTCGTGATTTTCTTCCAGTGCTTTCTGAATTTTTTGGGGCAGTCCAATTATTGCACGCTTTTTTTAGGGGTTTTGTGTATTTTTTTTTATAGAAAAATATTGGAATATATTTGAGATATGTAAGGGTGAATTCTATATACTTGATCGAGATAAAAGAGATATATAATTATGATATATGATGATTATTATCTGAGGGTACAACCACGAAAAATATATTCGATAGATAAAATCATTAACAATATATTCTTGTCTTCCTCATGTATATTTTTTCGTTCTATAATGAACCTTTATAATTAATTAAAAAATTAAGTTCAATTCATAAAATTAATCCATAACAATATTTTTTTTTCACTTAAAATATTTTTATTTATTTCATTTTCCTGTTCAAATTCTCGAAATTAATTTTATTAATCGAACCCAACGTGATTTATAACCTATTATTATTACAGAATGAAAAATCATACATGAATATATCTATATAATAGACATATATATATTATTTTTTCTTAAAAACATTTTTATTAA